TGAGCGTTGATGTAAGGAGTGAGAAAAGTAAAATATGGTCGCTCACTTAGGTCCATTTGATGCATAAATCCTGTTGAAAAGCATGCTTGGCATAATCCATAATAGAGGAGCTTAGGTAACAAAATGCTGGGAGCTAAGAGTAACATCTAATCGATTTTTGAAAACGTCCAAGGAAGGAGAGGATACAACTGAGCCTGGGAGTGCGTTCCAGGGTTGTCAAACCCGAAGGGAAAAGTAATTCCGTCGACACTCTAGACGGCTATATTGTTCCTTCAATTTTAAGCAGTTATCCCTGAGCTGCGTGTTGTGGCTAAGTTTCAGCAAATGGCGGCATACGTGGTTGGGGTCACTCAGTATCTGATACGCTAATATGAGATCACCGCGCAGTCTTCGGTAGCGTCCGCTGAAAATTCCCAGCAACTTCAACCTTCGGTGGTAAGAGTGATAGCGCAAGCTCTTTACGTTCTTTGTTGCTCTTCGTTGTGGTACTTCTAACGCCACTTGGTCGCACTTCAACCAAGGTTGCCAAGCTTGGATAGCGTATTCAACATGCGGGCGCAGGTAGGAATTGTGCACCATTGCGAAGATTGATGGGTCACATCTCTCGAATGCCCTTCGCAGCATGTCGACGTGCTGGTTGCCGCTTTTTGCAACTACCTCAGCCTGTTTTGAACAGTTGAGGTCGCTCTCTATGATCACACCAAGGTCACGTTCCTGGGTGCTGGTCTGCAATCCGTTTGTCCTACGTAAATAGGTGTAGTTATGTCTATGGCGTAATTGTAGAGCGCGACATTTGTCTACTTTGAATGGTAGAGCGTTTTGTACTGACCACTTTGACATTGTGTTAAGATCACACTGGAGCCGTTCGTAGTCATCCGGTCCTCTGATCCTTCGCCATATCTTGCTATCGTCAGCGAAAGATAGGGAATCGGAAGTAATTGATCTCGCCAAACCGTTAGTGAACACCAAGAATAGACGAGGTCCAAGAAACGAGCCTCGTGGTACTCCACACGCCACATCGATTGCATGAGAAAATGTTTCTCGGACTCGCACCACTAGCTGTCGTTCTTACAGAAAATTATCAATCCGACTCAGGATTGGGACGCCAACGCCGTAGTTCCGAAGCTTCTGAAAGAGAATTCGATTGTCTAAGCGATCAAACGCTTTTGAAAAGTCCAGGTAGATGACATCGACTCCCACTCCATCATCAACAGCTTCAGTCCAGCTATTATGTGCAATTAACAGGCTAGTATCACACGAATGCTTTTGAAGAAAGCCATGTTGCTCTGGAGCTATTAAATTGTGCCTTTCCAGTTATTGCGTCTGCGCATCTGCGATGATTGATTCCATCACTTTGGATAGTACTGGAAGTAGTGTTATTGGACGGTAGTTTGCAGGATCAGTGCGGCTACCACATTTATGGATAGGAGTGATGACCCCTCGCTTCCATATTGGTGGAATACGGTTCTCTTCTAAATATCGCTGATAGAAAACAGCCAGTGGTTTTGCTAGATCAATAGCTACCGCTTGCAGAGTCTTTGGTCGGATGTTGTCAGTTCCTGGAGAAATGTGGATATGCAAGGATAACAACTTCTTCAACACAGCTTCCGCAGTGAAGATAATGGTGTCTAAACCAGATGGTGTAGTATTAGAAATGAGGAGAATGTTTGGGCTCGTTACCTGCTGGAATGTTTGGGAGTAATGAAGCCGTAGGAGATCAGCTGCTTCCATTGCTGATCGCGTGCACCCATCAGCCGTGACTAGCGCTGGAACCTCCCGATTCACCTTTCGAAGGCCGTTAACGTGCCTGTACAGGAGTTTGCGGTTCGTGCATAATCACTTCATTAACTTCCGCTGATGAGTGACCATGTCTTCTCGGATCAGTTTCACACAGAAGTTACGATGTGTCACGTATACAGTCCAGGTTTCGGCATTCGAGCAGTCCTAGTGACCTCACCATGCTAAATCCCTCCGGGACATACATTTACGTGTTCTGCTCTTCAGAAATGACTTACGCTTGTTTTTGGGATGGAAGGGCTTCTGTTCTGATTCGTGAGCAACCAGTGTGCTAAACGTTCTTGTAAATGCTTCCCAGGCAACATCTGGGGGGCATTCGGTTAAGAAAGTCCAACATGTATCGTCAACAAGCTTAGATAACACATTGTAGTGCTTGACAGTATGCACTTTATCCTTCTCCTTTTCAGGGTACTCGGCAAAGTATATATAATCAAGGAGTAGAGTAACATGATCACTACGACCCAGTGGTGTGCTTGTAACTATCTCGTCAACCATGAGTTCTTCGTTAGTTAGCACAAGATCCAGTATAGACGGCTTGTTAGCAGTTCGAAATCTGGTGGGAGAGTTTAGGTGGTTGTACAGAGGGTGGCTAGCAATAAACTCCTGCAAGCAGGCTATAAACTGCATACCGTCGGTTGCCGGCGTTTCTATGTCGTGTACGTTAAAGTCTCCAGCGATAAGAATGTGGGTGTAGGATTTGTTCAAAGCAAACTGAAAAACGTGGTTCAATTTAGTGTCCATTTCCGACGTTGAGTTTGGTGGGCGATAAATCACGGCTAGTAGACATGTGTCCTTATTTCACAACCATAGGCGGCACCAAAGGGTATCGGGAGCTCGGATTTCTGGGTGATCGATAACTTCACATCGGAGGTTTGTATTATGGTAAAGAATCACACCGCCACCTCTTCCGTTTCTATCCGTCCGAAGCAGCGATGTACCGGGTAAACTGATCTCAGAATCGGTTATCTCAGGGTTTAGCCATGTCTCTGTAATCATGACGAGGTCCAGCGGTTGTGAGGCATGGAGTTCTCTAAGTTCGGCCAACTTGCTTAGAAGGCCTTGGGCGTTTGCATACATGCAAGCGCTTTTGTTGTTAGGGGCCCATTGATAGATGTCAACTTTGTGTTCGCTTTTAAGCCGGCCGTTAGGTGGCCGGCAATTAATCGTTTTTTGGTTTATGTATTTCAGTCGTGTTGTATGGCATTATTAAGCGTTCTTGAACAGAAGTTTCACTGGTGCTGTGCTCGGTCCTCCTGTGTGCCGTGGGCGCAGTTGTGTTGGTCTCTCCGAAGGACTGTGCAAATAAAGAATTTGTAAAGTTTGCAAGTTCCATTGAATTGCTTACGACTTTTGGTCGTTCGCCTGCTGCTTTTAGCCGGATCTTGGTTGGAAACCTAGCTCGAAACTTTAACCAGCTACCCAACAGAACTTGCGTCATTCCCTCGGAGTGTAGTATTACTTTCATTAGCCTTGGATCGCAGCGCTTGTAGTTAGGTGATGACGGAACTCTTGTCAGGGATTTGGCAAAAACATTGTCAACGGAGAGCGCTTTGCGGATGTAGCACCACTGCTCTCGATCATGTGTTTGTGCATCGTGATCATAAGAATGCAGAAGCTCGGTGAAACTGTTTAACTCATCATACAACCGGTCCACGTAGCTTTTTGACAAACGATATTTCGTATCATGCCACCTTCTCGCCTCATCTTCAGTGCTGGGTGACCAGAAGGCTATCACTGCCTCCAGTGAAGCCCACTAAGCAGGTAACCGCGACAATGCACTGTATGTATTGATTTGTTTGTAACTGTGAATGTAGTTACATTGGTAGTACAAACTGTTGTTTGTTTAAGCGGATTGGTGAGAACATTCTAAATTGTATCACCAATATGACAAGGTAATCACAAACGATACCTGTGTCAATGAACAAGACACATGCTTCCTCGATTACTACACACTTGATTGAATCGTGTTATCAGGTCGACACCGACTGGGCATTTACTGTCAACTATGGTAACACAAACGCCAGTCTTTATGGTTGCCGATGCAGTGGCCATAAACACGCATCGTCCAACACTGTGCATCCAGAAGTAACTGTTGTTAGACTCAAACTCTCTTGGAGTTTTTGATACGTCTTTAACTTGTATCCACATTTTACTTCCATTGCATGTGAGCTTCCGATTTCATCGTACTGATTTTTTGAGGAGCTCCCTGAGAAGACGAATCTCAACAGTTGCATGGATTTGGTGTCGTCTCTTCAGTGCGGAAAACGATAACTGGAAATGAAAAACGACTGTCATATGAGGAAAAGGTGCAAAAACAAACAAAAGGGAAAAACGGTAATCGTGTCTACGCCCAAGGTGGCCTGAGTCGGACCGATAGTTGCCATTGAGCACAAGGCACAGGTGTATCCAGTTTATGGCAACAGCCTCAGCGAAGCGAAAGAGAGGGAATAAGTTGAACGCAGCGGAACTTTGAACGCATGCTGACTTCGATCCGGTGATCTGAGAGTTTTGGTCACCTTACTATTTGATACGTTGCTCGTTTGAAATGAAGAGAACACGAAATGGCATCATCTTGCAACAGGCACTTGCCTATAGTTCTGTTCAAGATTCAAATAGCGTTTCATTTTGTAAATTTTACATATCTATTCTACTGGACTTGTCAAACACGTTTTTTACTTCTGATCAAACATTGTTCAGTGTGTCATGTACAACTCCTCTAACCGCACCCACTCAAGCAGCGGGTTATTATAGCCTACCGTAAAGAGACTAGTTGTGGTGACTCCTTGAGTAACGGCACAACATTGCACTATTCAGATGCGTTATTTACTAGGTGAGTTAGAACAAGTGTGTGAAAATGTTTCGGTCCAAGGTACTCCACTTTTGGTCAAGCACATGCTTCCTTTTCTACTAGTGTCTAGCATAGAAGTATCCTACGCTTTTCAAAGTTTTCAATTCAGTAGACGTCGGAGTTACCATCACCTTATGATTGACCAAAGTTCACGCTACCGCAATCTCCGCACAAGGCATAAAGCCAGAGATGGGTGATGTGCGCATCGCGGCTTACCAATCTAAATGTTCAAACGTTTACATCCTGACTTTGCATGGTAGCACGAGAGGCTCAAAGATCACCGCTATTATCACATGGATCATGGTGTTGGCTTAAATTCATGCACACCAGGTATGTGCTTGCTATAAAAACAACGTGTGCATTTAGCTAACCATGTTTAAGATGAACAAGCTATCACTGATAATTTTGTCATGTGCGGTTTGTGTGCATCTGGCTTACTCGCTCAAGGGGACTGATTCGGTAAGGCTCCAATCTGCCCATCAACATGTCACTATGGTTTATGACGGTTCAGTAGTTTCTAGCTAATGTTCAGCTCTGAACTAGGTACCATCATACGCGTCAAAATGGGGCCTTTTTGCAGCATGTCTCCTTTAGTTTACCCAAGTCCCGTTGTACGCCGCATAGTTCAGTCATACCGTGCAACTGATCATTACCTCATTTCTCTTTCTTCTTCGTCGACTTATACTCACTCAGATATCGCATACCATACCACAACCCCGTGTCTATTGGAGCACGATCATTCGGCAAATGTCCACAGCAAAGACGGATGATGAGTTCGAATTATACAAACGAAAACTACACCGTGCAATCCAAGTGAGTCGCACAACTTTACGTTCGGCAAAAGGTTAAACCTTTTAAGTATGGCGTTTCGCCCATCACATTTCGGTGGTCATTTATTAGCTGGGAATGTACAAATTAATTGAATCCTCCTCAAGCTATAGCCCGCTCAGAAGCACTGTACCAAAAATTTCGACTATTGCTGTGTTTGGTTGGCTCCTCAAAGGGCTGCCATAAAGGTCAAGCTTGGATCGTGCGAAAAAGCAGCATGACTGTCAAAGAAGTGTGGTAATACGTAGTAACGGATTTAGGTAAGGATGGAACAATGATGTAATACGGGTAAGTTGGTCTGTATGAACCACATAATCCCAGAGAAAATTGTTCTGTAGTCTCACCATATTGTCCAGGATACATTCGCAATTACTTAGTTCAGTATGTTCTGTTAGCATGTGGTTTCTTCTCGCTGAAATGAAATTCGTGAAGGGATATTGCTGCATGAAATCAGTGTACCCCGATTTCTTAGGGGCTGGTGAGCGCAATGTTTGTCCGTCTTGTCGGCACTCGATGACCGGTCATCATGTCACGTGATGCAAAGGGAGTAAAGCAGTCCGGCACTCAGAATACGACACGTGACGCGTCCAAGCGGGGACAGCGATGATTGACCGGTGGGAGACAAGGCAATAGGTACGCAGTGCATTGGAGCTAATGAAGTCAGCGTCGTGTACACATGTTTTCTTTCTTGAGTAGATTCATATGCATGTAACAAAACATGCTACGAGTCTACATACATGCTGAAATCGGCAACGTCGAGGTCCATTTGATTTTTACAAATATTCTGAGTTAATAGGTCGAACCTCGGTTACGTTGAGTCAGGCGCATCATTATCTAGTTTTCCAATATTCCCAGACAATTCGAACGTGTGTGGTCTGAATGTCACCGCACCACAAGTTCATTTATCTCGAGGTCTTGTGTACCGTCACTTGTGCACATGGTTCTACGCTGTCAGGGCTATTCGTTGGGGAATCGTGTAAACACGGTCATCAGAGGGAAAGGCCGCATAGTGCTCCCTGTTAAGTGTAGTTCGACGGTTACGAACTAGTAGCTGCAAGTTAGCGCGAAGCCCTCTACTGAACAATTCAACAGAGGGAGTATTTGTGGCTTCCGTTGGAGCTAAATCGTAGGTAAACTATAGTGGTTCGGATCTACTTTGAATAGATCCCGACGGCTGCTTTAATTAATCTCTTTTAACGTTTTACCCAGTGTGATCGATCTGAAAACAAATGATGTCATTTGCATGTAGCATAAGTGAGTTGCAAGAGAACACCGCTGGAAAATTCATTTGCGTGTCCACTGCTTTCTAATCGATTCATCTTCCCCCTGGCTGCATAATGTAAACGCCTGTTGACTTTCGAAAGGAAAAGGTGGTCGTACAGCTCTGTTACAGTTGTGTTAAGGTTCCCGAATTTGTTTAGTTGTGTGAAGTTTACTCAGACCACTTATATTATCCTTATAAGGCTAAAACTCATAAGTCAAGATAACTTTTTGACCAAAGGGAATTATTTCAAACAACTTGCTCAGCAACCGCGTGCTTAAGTCGTCTAATCTAAGTAGTTGAAATGAGTTTCTTACTGCAATCGGAGCAAACCAATCATATGAATGTTGGTAATTGGTACCATTTTTTGATCAGCAAGTACTTAAAAGCTGGCATCACCTTTTAATTCCAAATTGGGAAGTTGATAGACAATCGTTCACCACTTAACGAGGGGGTAGATGCAGACAAATTACACTAGACAATGTTTTAGGACAGTTTCCATTGGCGCCATGTTGGCCTAATATTGGTGAGTAGCCATCCTTTATGTGCATGCAATGATAGCTCACAGGCGGATTAGCACTGCATGTGAGTTTAAAGTAACAGCGTTCAACAAGTATAGAGTTACCCATTTCTTTATAAACGCCGTAGCGAGTCTACGCCAGTTGAGCGACGCACATCCATAGGAACTCAGTGCGTATAAAACCCGCACACCGGTGATCACAACTATTCGATAGACCACCGCCTTCACTCAATGAATTTAACATTTTGGAGCTAGTTATGAATACAGTTAGGACCACAGAAAGGAACAGGGCTTGATAACAGAGTTTCATTGTGTACTTTGAGATGGGTGACTGTGAGCAGCGAATGCAACAGACAATGAGCACAAACATGCATTAAACTCCAGACCCTTAATTGGAATGCGTGATTGAGATAGGCCGCTCAGCAACACGTTCGGGTCACTTACCTCAAGCAACTTGCTTGTGCACTAAGGTGTTTCTAAGTTATGGTCAGTACTCAGCCAATGTCGCATGCCGTGTACACAAAGTCCGATCTTCGTCGCCTTCAGTCATAGTTGGAGTTGTTTCGGCGTTGCTGTTCCCAGAACTGACACCCCCAATCGTTTGCTTCTTCGTTTGGGAGCACCAAGCAGTTATAGTCTGAGCTGGAAGTGCTACTCGGGCCTAACATTTAACGGCTGACATCTTGATCACGGTGGTGGTTTACAGTAATAGCATGTTACACAGGGAAAAGCGAGGTCCATCAAGCAACCTCCATGTTGCTACTTGGGCGTTTTAACCATGAATACCAGTTCTATGGTATGTTGCACTAAATATCTACTCCAACAACTTTCGTCTTTGGACTTCTGTCCTAGAGGGAATCTTTGGCCAAAAGCGATATGGAAGAAATTGCGCGTCATGTGGAGCAAGCGTATGCCTCAACACGACATGATATTTCAAAGGAGGATTATCTGAAATGTGTTGAGGATGTTTTCGAAGCTTTTCAACGGAAGTGTTTCACCTTTGCGCAGGTACGTATACGATGACACATACTGTGTTACAATGTTCCTGTGAGCAATTTACCGATCGCTCTATTTTCTCTTTTGCATTCTACAGCATCCTATCATATCGAGGCATTCCTGGATCCTTAGCAACTTGTGCCAAAAAGGCTACGAAACCGGCAGCGTGGTTCAGGCAGTGTATGAAGTGTGTGCTTGATAATTAAGATCAGTCCTGAACATCACATTTTTGCATCTTGCGTTTTTCCAAATATCATATGGGGCTACCACAGGTATTCAATGCTGGCTGTTATCTACATATGTGAATAGGCCACTTCAACTCCTGTGCCAACGGGCTCTGTGTCTTTCCGGGGTAAAGAAAATACAGTATTGACACTAATGGGGATTGCGCGATTGGATAACATAAATTCGGGTGTCAAAGATTCGACCGTTAGACTGCCGTCTCTCCCTATTGGTGCGTATCATAGTACGCAACCTCCGTCTCCATCAGGAACCGAATCTATGAGCACTGACAGCCTGTGTAAATAATCGCTGGAAGTGGAAGCATCCACCTTTATTGTTTCACCCAAACGGTTAATACTGAAATCTTTTAGTGGAGGGTGCCTCTGGCCTGAGAAACATGCGCCGATCTTCGTGTAGGTAACAGAGGTTTTCTCAGAATAGTGCATGCAAACGGAAGACCATTATCATTCGTCTACTATTCCTTTCGCTGGCGCAGCTATCAGTGTGACTGTGAGTACCTGGAAACAGGACACGGAAATCGGGACAAGACGTCTCGGAGTAACCGGTACTGGAGAAAAACTTTTCTTGTTAGATCAGCTGCATTCCTTAATGTGCCATCGGTGGAATTCGCCTCATCTTTCCCCCGATCACTAATAGTTTATCTGTTAGGACCGAGTAGTATTGCCATAGGGGTTCAATTCGGGGTCTCCAGATTTGATGTTGTTGTGTGATGGTTCCCTACTCATGGTGACAGAACTGTAACCAAGAATTTAGGCAATTCTGAGGTGACGGCCGCATAAACCGTGTACGAGGCAACTTACGCAAGTGACCACCGGGTTACTCACAGTGACAGTTATGCAGGCAAAATTCAAAGTTATTCATATCCGTATCCGAGCGTGCAGAAAGTGTTGCGACCTTCAACCCTAACACAGTAGCCCATCACCAGCGGCGGCCTAAGCTAAACTCATAGTCGCCCCCTTAACTTGCGGAATCAAAAATCACTGTCTACGTTGGTCGCGAGTGAGCAGATCGTTCAGAGCAGTGTAGCGTCCGTCGCGTAAAAATATTGCTTTGTTTAATGATAAAGCAATTCATCTTTCTTAGGTGCTGTTTTCAAAACACCATGATTTAAAAGAGGCCACACTAGAGGTGAAAATTAGGAAGTTGAGTGAGGTGTGGTCCAATGCTCAAGCTGAACGTATTATCCAAACATACCGGATCACAGTACCGCCACCTATTGAACCACGCAACGCCAACTACGCATGGTCATGCTGCTTTCATTGTCTGACAACATAATCAGATTTACTTCACAACGAACTCAGCATCGAACATATTTTAAACAGCTTGCTTACAGATTATGTAGTCCTGGTACCGTCCTCCATAGCTCAGTGGCTTAAGCTGCTGACTAGTTGGCATCAGCCTCTATCGGTCATGGGTTCGATCCCAATTAGGGGACCGACGGAATGCGCATCAGTGACGAGCCGCAATATGGCGAAACTCGACTGGTGCTTTCCCGGATTGTGGCTGAGCTATGAAGCTTGTGAGGTGTTGGGATGAACACATTAAAAGTTTAAACAAGTAGTCCGATTAGCATATGACAGCGATTAGAACACCAGTGCTGACGGTCATGTACTGCAACGCCTCCAGTCAAAACAGGATTGGTTGCACTGACCCCAGTTGAGGGCATGGGAAACCAGCGGCACACAGTTTAAAGACAGTGGAACAATGATAAGTATCAGGTAGAAGCTATTGCCTAACGATTCCCGTAGAATGACCGAGGTGAACGTATCAACATCAGTGAAAATTGTATCCGCAACATTTAGTGTGCACTGGTGAACTCACTAATATGTTTGCAGTCTACAGGGTAAAATTTTTGCAATGCACCGTTTGGTTGCGCTATGGCGCCGTTTGGCGAACATATAGTATTTAGAAATGTAGATGACGTAATGTGTCGTAAAGTTGCGTTGCAAATGTTGTTAGATTGGGGGCGAAAAACGCACACTAGAATGGAGTCCACGGCTGACGCACTCGAACGATGAAGAAAGTACGATTCCAACCAGTAGGATTCCAACCAGCCATACTTCTTTGTCATGTTTGGAGAATGGATTTTCAGACTAGCGTTTTGGCTTAGCTTTAAAATAGGGCGCTAAATATGGTTGAGATTTCTCAAGACTTGTACAATCATTATGCGGTGCCTTTTAGGCGCCAAAACCTTCGCCATCCATTCCTATGTATCTTACTCACATTTAGTAAGACTTCAAACATGTTTGGACGCTCTTTGTTGTGCGAGCGCAAACTCAACGTGACTATGCTTCAGCCGAGAAGCTCTGACTGGGCTGTGTGTTATACGTGTGTTCCCACCTAGGTGTTAAGTATTTCCGGATAGGTAGAAGGGACAAATCGATTTGATGCTCTGAGGCCTCATTTCCTATGGGCACAAAAAGCCGTGTGCAATAAGAACCAGGCTTATACATGTAGTATTCCGTCCTATTTATCGATTCAACACCTTAAGCTCGGTGGCACTGTTTAGGTACTTTCGTATGTGTGACGATCGGACGGCCAGTATCGCAATTCAGTACGAACACACACAGGCACGATAGCCTACAAGGGAAACATAACTCAGCTCACGAAGGGATTTGGGTTGCATTCGCTAGCCCCAACCGCAGCAAGGTAGATGACAAGAATTCCGAGCAAGATCTATTCTGATGACAACAGACATTCATCAAGTAAACACGAGTGTATTTATAGGTCTACTAACTACGTGAGGTTGACCAATCACGGTACTGCTCTGAGATTGGAACGCATTTGCACGTGCTGCTTTAAAATTAAAAAAACGGCTAATAATAAAACCCCATATGTGTTGGTTCCAGTGTACATCTGGCGAAACTGATCTTTTCCTAAAACGGACACATCACGGTTGCGGAAGCGTTGATTCCACTGGACACAGGCATTATTACCAAGACTGACATGATACAGAGCTGCAAAATCACTTCATATCTGCGGACAGCCCAATAATATTGCTGCTAGAAAAATCCTCTAATGTCTCGAACGAATATAAAAAGTCGGATAGGTCAACATAATAATCGTTCGTACAAGAGATAGAAGGAGCTTGCATACATTTGATACATACATTGCTAAACTTGATGTTGACACATGTGATTTGCTTTCTCTATTGCCAAGATTTCAATTCTAAGCCTACCACTCAGAGTATGAAAAAACTGCCTGCTGTGTTGGATGTCGTGTTTTATCGAAGCTCTGCGCACTACTTAGATTTGTAAGCCTTCTCCTCCACTAGAATAATGCGTCTAATACATCAGCTTTGGATCTTGGTCAATCCTAAGGGCTGTCTGTAGGCAAATGCGACACAGATTCGCCAGAATATACAGCGGCGTGTAACGCTCGTTATAACTGTGCACTGGAAACACTAAAATCAGATCATAAATTTTAAAGCTTAACTTGATGGTTAGTCTGTCCGTTTCATGAATTCATTATTACGCAGGTCAATTTCATGAACAAAACATTCTACATTTTGCCTACCTTTAGGGTCAAGGAATGACCACACACATCGAGAAACAAAAGCATGTTAGAGGTTTTGCATCAACGCTCGTGAGTCCGCAGTCACCGGGGCACATCACCACTGACCCAACACTTGTGATACCTCATGAGGCCCAACCATAGACAATTCGAATCAAAATGCCATTGCAGTTATGCACTTAACCTAAGTTGACGGTGCTCCTGCATCACGCATCTTCTGCCTACGTTAGCGAGATGGACAGTGTTGTGCCTCTGTCAGAAAATTGTGGTGGGTACGCCTACCAGACGGACTGAACGGATACTAACAAAGGGTATGTGTAAGTCATTATTGTAAACGATTTCCCACCACAGGAGCTCTATAACTTTGCGATTCGCAGTTGTGGGCATGTCACTCCTTCAATTTAACTACCTGGCATAATGGTCTTCCCTCGCAATCAGACTGCATGATAACGTCGTGCGGCTGTTTGTGCACCTTTTCCGTCCATTGAGATAGACTGGGTGGGGCCCCAGAGCCCCTGAAGAGCTACTCCTACCAAGATAGTCAATGGTTAGAGGTCGGAGAAACTAATTCTCCTGATATTCCAGATTGGGGGTTGGAAATGGGGTGGTGTCCATTTCTATCGAACAAATAAGTGCCGCCTCTCCACTGCGTTGCCGACAAGTTTTTGAGCCAAAGGCTTTGGTTGAAGGCGCAAATCGTTCTCCTGTCAAGGTCTGGGAGCCCTGGCAGTACTCATCCCACGAACAATCATGACTATTTCTCCAAATTACAACCATATCCTGTATCGACCGTCGCGCAGATTATCAACGGTCGCCTTTTCTACTTCATACAGCAGGGCGCATAAGCGAAACACGAAATTGCTGGCGCCTCCTTTCCTTCTTTTTCATTTGTTTCTCTTAATCTCCTCTTGTAGAACGTGCAGCCCTCCGTTAAACATAAAGAATATTGCAGCCAACCAACATTTTTATTGCTGAGCTATGCTTGATTTTATACTACATATTACTGATTTTTGCCTCGCGTCCCATTGGCTTCCGCGCTGGCCATGGGGTTGCATCTATGGGTTCGACTTCCTCGATTATAGGTCGTCCATCCAACTGCAATCCGATCACGACGGCCATGTTGTTTGGCTCTGCCGGCCATCTCTCAAGATTCATGTACAGTTGTCCTATATCTTCCGGCAGGTAATTTGTGGTCTGTGGCTTTGATGCTGACGTTCCCCTTCTAACTCCGGCAATAATGACTAGTCTTGTCTGGCATGTTCTATTACCCGCCCAAACAGCGGTCATCTGCCCTTGAACGGTTCGTGCCTCTTATTAATTGTCTAGTGTAGTAACCGCCATTGAATGCGCTGCATCCTCCGTTTGCTTGTTAGTCTCACAGACGGCCTGTGCTGGTGACTAGCATCCAAGGGTATCTAATTTTATCAAAGTCTGCATCTCTACTTAGCTGCGTCGTGTCTCGGTCTCCGTCGCAAGTAATCCTGTCCGTGCTTATGATTGCCAGCTAAGGGTATCAGCTGCTGTCCCACATCCCAACTCCCATTACTATCCGTC